AATGGCGTTTGTAAATAGGATCTCAAGTCCGCATCTTGTACAGCAATTAACCACTAAGAAGAATGTATGCAGTGTGTTAGTTATTGAAACTGCCCTAGTGATTTGATTTGAAACTGTCTCATTGCTGTTTGTTTATCAGTAGAATTATGAATAAATAAATAAATAAATAAATGAAAAAGAAAATCCAGGTCTACCAATTCTGAAGTCTATATTGTATGACAAATAGCTCTTACTAGCAATATCATTAGAGGTTATTAATTGAAACACTATACACTTTGGTTTGAAGTTAATTCATTAAAATTACTATATTTCATAGGAAATTATAAGGACTTAAAAAGAGAACATTAAGATCCCTTTTATAAAAGTTAAAATCATGTGTATTTGTAATAATATATATTCCGTGTAAGTAAATATATACAGAGGCAGGACAGTAAGTAAACAAGGAATTGAATTTAGGAAGTGAAGAGCTAGCTTCTGGCCCTGCACGTATGGCTTTGGTCAGGCACAGCCAAAGCCTTCGCCCCTCATGTGTGGAGTGAAGGCCAGGACTACCCTTCCTGGATGGCGAAAGTATCGTTGCCACCGAAAGATTATACATACAACGTACTACATCATTATGATTATACATTTTACAAAGTTTCCATTTGTGTACTCAAGAGTGGTACGTAGCAGAATCTGGGAATTTTTCTTTGGCCACCAAAGAAATTTAAACAATTTCTGTTTAGCATGCTGCCTAACCGTTATTAACATAAATGTGTCTTTTTGTATTCTGACATATTTTAACTTTCTTAAATGGGAGGCTAAACCTCCTAGTATTTCTGCCACAGTTTAGGAAAGATAGCAGTGGAAGAATTAGGAGTTTGCAGACCTGACTATTAAGAATATACTGTTTGTGTGTTTTATGAAATAGGTACGTTTCTTTTCTATAGTATTATTTGTAATATACAATGCTTAGAAATAATATGAACTGTTAAATCAATTAGGTTAGTGACTCATTTATCAGAGCATTGTGCAGCTCTGAAGAAAAATCAGTTACTCCTTTCTACATTGTGGGAAGACACACACTTCTGCTTTTCTTATCAAGTGCATTTAAGATGCAGCTCTGAAGAACGCATGCTTGGTGTCCATGAGGTCCTAGATTCCATCCCCAAAGCCGCCACCACCACCACATGCAGAATAGAAACACACAAAAGCAAAAGAGAAATGCCCAGCAACTGAGTGCTGCATGAAAAAGATGCAGTGTTTTTATGTGAGAAGTATTATGTAGCTGTATAGAAAGATAAACCAAAATCTGAAAGGCGCAATAGATGCTGTGAAAGGAAAGTAGCTGTTCAAAAGGAAAGAGCACTGGGATGAGGGAAAGGAGGGAAGGAAGGAAGAAGAAAAGAAGAAGGAAAGAAAGAAAGATAGAGAGAAAGAGAAAGGAAAACAAAAGGGAAGGAAGGAAAGAAGAAAAAAGAAAGAAGGAAAGAAAGAAAAGAAGGAAGGAAGAAAGAAAGAGAAAAAGAGAGGAAAACAGAAGGGAAGGAAGGAAAGAAGAAAAAAAGAAAGAAAGGAGGAAAGAAAAAAGAAGGAAGGAGGAAAGAAAGGAAGGAAGGAAGGAAAAGAAGGAAGGAGGAAAGAAAGAGAGGGAAGAAAGGAAGGAAGAAAGGAAGGAAGGAAGGAAGGAAGGAAGGAAGGAAGGAAGGAAGGAAGGAAGGAAAGAAGGAAGGAAGGAAAAAAAGGCCTATATATACACAGAAGATAGCTAGGTTAATTGCACTACTAATTTCTATTGGTTTGTCGAAAGGAACAGTTAATGCTTAATTGTTCGGTCTATTTCGCATGCCTATATCTGCAGTCTGAGCATCTACTTTGAAGTAGATCCATGACACTGTGCCATGTAACAACTATTGCTAATTTCCTATCATCTTGTTTTGAAATTTTGTACCATTTTTATTGTTTTTCCTTATTTTTGTTACCTTTAAAACAAAAAAAGTAAAAGAGCATTGCATATAATATTTTACTTTTTGAGGCTAAAGCTGAAGGATTAGCTCTACCTATATTTTTATTGTGTTATGTAAACATAAAAGAAATCTTGTACAGACATGTAAGGGACTAGGAAGAGCCATTTCCATAGAGGAGGGGCTTAGAAGACAGGTAAACATCAGGTAAGTACTAACTGTGACTTCTACTTTATTGTATACCATTTTATTTATTTATCTATTTATTTTCTTTTTAATGTATTTAGTACAGGGTTTACAGTGCCTCATTATGTAGATTGGACTCGTAGTGATCCTCCTGTTTTCAGCCTCCCACGCTCTGGGATTACAGGTGCAGGCTATCATGCCCAGTCTCAATCACTGTCTCAGTGTGCCCCAGGGATGGGGCTGGCAGGGCAGCCCTTGAGATCTAATCCCCGGTCCCTGAGTCTGCCTAAGTAGGCATTTTAATCTGCTAAGCATTCTGGCTGGCCCTTGTATACCATTTTATACTTGTTTTTTGAGCCAGAATGTAATTTCTGTTTAAAAATGTAAAATAATTTAATTTTATGAGAAGGTAAATACTTTAAAAGGGCATTATTCAGAACCTAGAGATATGTTTCAGATTCCTTTATCCTGACATCAAGTTGAGGTCAATTTACATTAAGATGTACTGACTTTTAAGGTTCAATCCCCAGTCCCTCATGCCTTGCAGGCCCTGCCCCCGGATGCACTGAGCGGTGACTGAGGCCGGGCAGGCCTATAATCCTAGCACTGGGGAGGCTGTAAACAGGAGGATCAGTATGAGTCCAAGCTATGTAGTGAAACCCTGTACCAAATACACAAATGAAAAGAAAATAAAGATGCATAGACTTTTGATTTGTGGAAGAGGTAGATGACCAGGCAAGAGGCTGTATTTATTTTTTAAATGTGTGTAGTACAGGGTCTACAGGGTCTCACTGCATAGATCGGACTCGTAGTGATCCTCCTGTTTTTAGCTTTCTAAGTTCTGGGATTACAGGCGTGTGGCACCATGCCCAGTCTCAATTGCCATCTCAGCGCGCCTGGGGTGGGTGGGGCTGGCACAGCAAACTGGGGATTGAACTCTGGTCCCTGTGTCTGCCTAAGCAGATGCTTTAGTCCGCTGAGCTATCTGGCAGGCCCTAGGTTGTATTTTGGATCCCAACATGTCCTGAGAGAGCAGAGGCTGAGAAGGTAACAATGATGACAGGACTTAAAATAGAGACAGCGTCCTGGGCATCTGGGTAGCAGAGAGAGAAGGTCAGGAGAGGAAAAGGGACTCCAGGGGGGGAGCAGGAGGAGTGCATCATGCTGCCAGCTCTGTAGCTCAGCCTGGCTCCTCATTGCTCTATCACACGGTGCCCGTTCAGCACCGACCTGGCCAGGCCTACAGTCCCAAAGAGAACACCCTTAGTGTTGATACTTGGGCAGCCTCCTCCAAAAGCTGTGTCGCCACCACCCAAAGGTACAGAGGACTGGAAATGCAGGTGGAGGGTGCGGAAGAAAACTCCCAAGGACTTTTGCTTAACTTCAAACCATTTCCCTGGCATATGCTCACAGCCATAAAATGGAGGGTAGGAGTTAATTTTTTTTTTTTTTTTTAAATCTGTATAACAGAAGAAATAAGGAACCATTTAGAGGTTCTCACAAAAACAACAGTTTTGAGTGATGAATCAGCGCTGGAACAAGATGAAAGATGAAAAGCTGACACCAGGCTGAATCTCTCTAGGAGAGAGACAATGGGGATGATTCTAAGCTTGCTTCCTGTATGACAGGACCAATAGGGACGTGCTTGCTATGTGTTTATTAACAAAAAGTACATTGCTCTGAGGAAAAGGGCACACTGAAGACATTTCACAGTGCAAAAAATGAAAAGCAGCTGTTAGGTCAGAACTGCTTTAAATTAAACCATAATTTTATAAAGAGAAATGTATGACTAATAGAGGTACAGTCACTTATCAGCTTTTTTTTTTCTGTGTTACAATAAGCAACAACTGTGCATCCTTTTCCAAAAATATTAATCATCTCAGACACGTGTGAGTTTTTATTCCTCATGATGCGGAGTTACAAACCTACACAGCCGATCAGTATCAAGTCTCACCACATTCCAAACTATTGCAGTGACATCCCTGGTTTGCCAGGAAGGAGAGTATTGCACTCCTTTGTCTGCCTTATTTTTCTAGCCATGGGATACTTACAAATAAATTAATAAAACTATATTGAGAAATTAAAAAAGCTAAAATACGAGACCAAAATGACAGTGTCCTAAGAGTCCTTTTACTTTCTAACTTGAGCATTGAGCTTACGCAACATGAATGGTGAGGCTCTTTGAAATGACTTTGAAGAAGGTCTCTCATCCTCAGTACTGTTCGAGTTTTGGCCTGGATGATTCCTTGAAGTGAACGGCTCTCCTGGGCAGAGTGGGATGCTGACCAGCATCCTTGCCCTCTCCTCAGTGATATCAAAAAGCACCTCCAGTCCTCGATGATCAAAAATGTCTCCAGACATGGCCAGAAGTCCCTGGCCACCCTAGTTGCTCCTTGGGGAAGCACTTACTAGAAGTTTGCTCGCTTCTGTCTATCTCATTTCTGGTAATAGAAATAATGGGCCTCAGTCTTTTTCAACAGAAAGGAAATGAAATCCAACTGAGGAAGTGAGTGCAGTCATTACCATTGAGCAAAACCATTTATCAATCAAATGGATGAATTTCCACCCCCTCTCCTGAAAACCCAGCTGCCAAGTATTTTCTCATAGAATGCCTGCATAGAACCCAGACTTCCTACCTTCTCAGACCTCCCACACAAAAGAAAGAAATGCCAAATAAAATTCATCACTTACATGCACGAGTGCCAGATACGGAAGCATTCCTGGAGCAACTTTTCCCCCTAGAAGCTAAAGCACCTCCTGCTGTGGAACAAACCACACTAACAATAAAAAAAAATAATAATAACTTACTATTTGCAGAATCGACTTTTCGGAATCTCGCCAAGTCAACGTGGGGTGGTCTGTTGGGTTTGGGTGGAGGTGGACCCAAGGCAGACAAAGGAGGCAATGGTTTCTGCCTTGGGACTGCTGGATTTTTATCTTCTTTTTCTTTCTCTTGATTTTGGGCCCAGGGGCCCCCCACTGTCACCTTGGAAGGAACCTTAGGAAACCTGGAGGGAGCAGCCCCTGATGCTGGCTCTTCCTGATTCATTTTGCTGAGGAAGATATTTTTAGCAGCATCTATCTTCCTGTGTTCTTTATTTTCTTCACCATTTCTGGAGAGGCCTGGGCTTCCTCGGTTTCCAGCAGGTTTCAGAACAACTCCAGCAAATGGAGAACTCGACATATCACCTCCATGGCCTTTACTTTCTGAGTCTTCCCTTGTTGGTTTTAAAGGGCCTCCCTTGGACTTGGCTCCGAGGGGTGTGGGGAATCCTCTCTGGGCAAACACAGTCTTAGGGAGGCTCTCATCTTCTTGGGGGTTCTCAGGGCCCAGGGCTGGCTTCTGACCAATGGTTGGCTTGGGGAAGAGGGGTTTGGCATCGTGGTCTTGTGCGGCTGGCATAAACTTGGCTTTAGGCCCGGCCACCTTGGGGAATGCTTGTCTCTGTTCATTTTCTGTAGCTGGAGGAGGAGGCCCAGGCTTTGGTACTTGCGTCTTCACATCTTGGTCTTGGTTCACACTGTGAAGTGGCAGCTTATTCCCAGGGGGCCGGGGAAGCACAGGTTTGGACTCTTCTTTGGGCAGATTGATGGGCTTGAGGCCTCCAGGTTTTGGAAATCCCACTTTTGTGTCAGGGTCTCTGGTGACCGAGTTTGTCAGCGTTCCGAATTTTTGAGCCACTGCAGTAGGCTTTAAAAAGGGAGGTTTGGGCTCCTTGTCAGGCTTTTCCTCAAAAGTAGGTTTCACTGCCAAAGGTGGCTTTGGAGTCCCAAGCTTGGGCACGTTGCCGGGTCCTGCTGAAGGGGTGACATTTCCGGTGGCATTGTCAAACAAGTTCTTTCTCGCTTGTATTCCTGAAGGCGAGTTTTGGGCTGCGACTTTGAAGGGCCGGTGGTTGCCCGAGACCTCCTCCACCGGATGGCTCCCCGAGTTAAACTTCGCCATGAGGGACTTCACATCTGCTTTCCCATCCTACAAGCACAGGGAACAAAAACTGGCTGAGAACCAGAAGTCTTACTTGTGCAGCTCAACATACTATACCGTAAGGGCTTCCTGGTTTGAGGCCAGCTACTTCACTGATTGGTTACCTAAATATTGTAACATTTAAGTTCCTCTGTGGCAAAACAAGTTGTGAGAGTTTCATGAAAGGGGAGGGTCCTGTGCATAATCTGTGGGGTTTTCTTTGGATCATTTCAGAGTGATTTGTTTGTTTTTGTTTGAGTAACACTTGCCTTTTCTCTTGTACTGTTTCTCTAGTTATCTTCTTGGATTTCTGACAAAATTTTCTGACATTTATCTACCTTTTAAAAAATTGCAAAGAATACAGAAGTGGCTAACAAATGAGTTCTTCCATCTTTTACAAATTGAGGCTCTTAAATAGAAAGTTACACTGAAAAATGAAAGTAGAGTCCTTCTGTCTGGTTAGGCTGCAGGTTTCATACAGCAAGGCCATGTTTACCATTTCTGTGGTTTTCAGGAGTTTTCTGGGTCTTATCCACATGTTAGGTCTGTTTGCTGTCAGGGAGACACACATGGCAGTTGCTTCCTTTGTACGAGTAAGTAATATAGTCAGTTTTCTTTCTTAATAGATTTTTATATATATTTATATATTTGGTGCATGGTCTCACTGCACAGCTTGGACTTATAGTGATCCTCCTGTTTTAGTCTCCCCAGTGCTGGAATTACTGATGTGTGCCACCACAGTACTGGGGATTGAACCCAGGTCCTAGGGCTTGTCAGGCAGGTGCTTAGACCACTGAGCTATCTCCCTGACCCTAGAGTTGGTTTTCTAATTACTTATAAATGCTGAGTGCTAATGAGTCAACTACATCAGGACAGGCAGCAGAATTGGTAGAGAGGACATGGGGACATGGGGACAGACACTACTGGCCAGAAAGTCAATTCTGGCCCCTTTCTTCCAGCGTTATACCTCCTGCAATGATCTCACTCTTTTCCTGATGTCCTACTCCACAGTCCCTGTCCTCCTCATCTAGAATTTGAGAGTTATACAGCAAAGACATCCAGACATCAGGGGTTACAGTCCATTCAACCTGGGAAAGTCAGTGGTGCATCTGTTCTTTCTCTCAAAAGTGAGGAGTTGTCATTGTCTTATTATTTTAGAAATATGGGAAAATGTGAAGCCTTCTGACTGTAAGTTATCACCCCAGGTGCACACGTGGCTATGACAATCTCCTGTTTCAGGCTTCAGCATTCACCTAGAAAATGTCTGTGTCTCACCTCTCACTCTTTCTTGCCACAAACAAAAACACACTTCATTTTTCAAGGCTCCACTCAAATACCTCTGCAGGAGATTCTGTGCAGCCAGGAAGGCGTATGTCCCCTGCTCCTGACTCAGGTGGCACCTCAAGCACTCCACACCCACTGCCACACTGTCTGGTCTCAAGAACCGCCACCCAGTGTGTTGATACATGTGCTCAACAGCATGTTGTCTCATTTCATTCTTACACACTCACAAGAGAAAGGTATTACCGAACTCTGTTTCACGGTGAAGAAAACAGACTGAAACTGCAGGAGGATGCCATCGGAAGAGAGTGGGGATTTGGTCTGAATTTTGGTTCATTAAGATTAGGGGGGCTTCAGTTGTACCATCTAGAAATGAATAATGAAACATAGCTACCAGATTTACCATGTACATGAGGAATGGATTTGTATGATTCCTGCCTGGCACCTAGCATGGGCTCAATATGTGGAAACTGTTATTAATAGAAACTATTATAAGTAATGAGCTGGAAGTGGTGGTGCACCCTTGTAAACCCAGCATCCTAAGAGGCTGAGGCAGAAGGGTTATAAGTTCAGGCCCAACTTGGGTAGACTTAGCAACTCTGTCTCAAAATTAAAAAAAAAAAAAAAACTTTTTAAAAAAGTGACTGGGGACTTAGCTCAATATAAAGGTCTAGTACTACCAGGAGAAAGAAAGAACTATTAAAGACTCATAAGAGAACAAGCTCAGGTCTGTCTAGGATTCCCAGGGCCAGAAATGGTCTCACTGCTCTCTGTCTGTCTCCCCCCAACACCTGTACTAGGGCCTAGCACCTTTGAAACTTTGGTGCATGTCTGGGGAGCAGGGACTGGCACTGAGCTGAACACTGTGAGCAGTGACTGGACAAGAAACTGTGCTCTCGGCATGGCGTTATCTCTTTCCCAGGGCACTTGTGCATGTGCATTTGCAGAGTTAGGGAAGGACTTAGGCAGAAGGAGAAACACCAGTAAAATCAGCCATTTCCAGGGTGCGTTTTCTGCTTTCTACCTTGCCCCCCATGCCACTTTCTATGCCCATGATTCCCTCCAGTCCTCAGGCAATCCCTGAAGAAGACGGGCAGCAGGCAGCAGGACAGCAGAGGTAGGGAGGTTGAAGGTGACAGGGAGGAAGTACAAGAGGAGGGTCCTCACTGGCCCTCCAGGGATGGCTTCAGACGGCCCTGATCACCTGGGTGAGAAACATAAAGAAATATTTCTATTTCCTTGAGGGTGTGGCTCAGCGGTACAGGGCGCACTTCACAAGCACAAGGCCCTGGTTTTAAGCCTCAGCATCAAGCAAACAAACACCTAATATAGAAATTTTCTCCCTACCTGTAAGGAAGGCTGTCTTTCCGGTAGAATCCAGATTTTTCCAATATTTTATAATCTGCACTCTTGATCTACAGTTCATCTTAAATTTATAACAAAGGGGCTGAAGAGCAAAGTGATTAAGACATAGACTTGAAGCCATGAAACCACAGGTTGAATCTAACCAGCTTTTTAAAAATTTGGCACAGGGTCTTGCTATGCAGCTTGGACTCATGGTGATCTTCCTGTCTCAGCCTCCCCAGTGCTAGGATTACAGGTGTGCACCATCACGTTTGGTTTGGGTGGCTGGCATGGCATGAAGAACTGGGGATCAAACCTGGGTCTTTGTGTTTGCCAGGCAGGTGCTTAGGCTGCTGAGCTATCTTCCCAGACCCTTACTAGCTTTTTAAACTAGGGCAAGACTCATGAATTGGTTTACTTTCCTCCATATTGACAACAGCAATGCCTAGAGGACTCAGGAAAGCTAAGCAAGTTCATACTGATAAATTGCTTTAAAGACTATTAACACATAGAAAGATTTCCAACTTTATAAAACAAAATCTCAGAAGTTGTCTAGTTTCTCTCACTCACTACATTGATGAGGAAATGAAATCCTACTGTGTTATCACAACTTCACGTTGTGGGGAAAACCCATGAAATACCCTAGCCTACTGTTAGGTTTTAGTCCTCTCTCTAGTTTAGGAAACACAGCTGCTGTCATTTGGGAATTGGAACTTGCGTCTCTTGACTTCCACTCGAGACCCGAGAGGCTCTCTGTTCAGGTTGGAATCACAGGCTCTGCCGTTGCCCCCTTAGGTTCAGACCTCGCAAGTGCTCCGCCTCCCAGTCTTAACCGCTATTTCATGTCTCACAGATTGTTTTCTTCATGTCTAAGTTGAGGATGGCAACCCTAGGTGTCACAGGGCTTTCATTTCTTTGATAAGGACTAACTGAGTGGATGCACATCGAGTTCTTAGACCAAGAATGAAATGTAATGTACACACAGTGAGTGTTTGCTACCGCAGTTTCTTCTCACTCACTAGTCACATAACTCATTTTCCCCATGTGACCTGATTTTAAAGTTACAAACGCTAACATTACATCTTATTTTTAAACCAAAGTAATGACATCTATATACCCCTGGGTAACCTAGTGCAGCGCCTACGCTTTAGTTTGGCTTGCTGGTACTCTACAACTTTTCCCTAGACATCAAGAGGGAAGGAATGAACAGCAAGGTTCTCTGTAGCATCCTTTGAAAAGACAGAGAAGGGCACCTGACCTTACTGGAGTGGCTGGCAAGTCAGTAGCTTGGGCTCCACGACTGTTAAATCAGAAACAGGGATTTCGTAGCTTGGGGCACAGATTGCTTGATGATCACCATGATGAAGAAGTTTGTTAGAAAAAAAATTTCAATATCCAAGTTCCTCCTTATCAAGAATAGCTAGAGTTTTTTCTTAATGATCACGATAGCAAGACAAAAATGATTAATATAAACGTTTTTGCATTCTGATTTTTTCCAGATTGGAGATGTATTTCATTCCAATGATGTTCAGGAATTTTTAAAGAAAAAGAGCAAGTAGGAGATATATTTTGTTATATGACAGAGTGAAAAATATGGCTTCTACAACCCCTGAACCTAGTCCTGCAAGTGCTGGAGTAACCACGTATCCTGATTTGACAGTGCAGTATGAACTTACGCCTTTTGCTCTGGAATGAGAGGAAGCTCCCCTTCACTCTCAAATTGACCTGCGGTATGCCATCCATAATACGGTGGCCCTCTTCTTTCCCTTCTTAAGGGAAAACCACTGTTACCAGTTTCTTATGTGGCTGGATGAATAATGCAGATACAAATTGTGTGTGTGTGTGTGTGTGTGTGTGTGTGTGTGCACGCGCGCATACAGAGATCCTTCCTACTAGTCCCATTTTTACACAAACAGAAGTCCCTGCTCTGCATTTTGTTTTTCCAGGGTTGATGTGCAGTTGATATATACTGGTACAGTCTTGCACATGATTGGCAAAATTCTGATTATGTGCTTTCTGTGCCACCTAAGTTGTTAAATATTTTCAATTTCAACTCAGCTTTTTTCCCTTGCCAACTGGTGCATCTTGGTGTATGTTACCAGAAGGATCTTGTTAAATTCCTGATGTAAAGATTGAGCTTCTACTTATTGGTACATAGAAGTATCACACTATTTAAAATATTGCCAAAGATAGCAATATTTTAAACAAAACAAATTGTGTTAGACAAAACAAATATTTCATTTCAAGTTACTTGAAATTTCTTCTTTGAAGTTAATTGAAACAATTTGTTGTTATTTCTACTTCCTCATCTTTCTTTCTTTTGGATGTATTTGGTTGCTGCAGGGTCTCACTATGCAGCTTGGACTTGTGGTGATCCTCCTGCT